CCTGCTTACAGGCGCATTTTCAAGAAGAAACATATTTTACTATTTAATATAGTCTCTTGTGAAGTCAGTTATCTAATTGTATTCAAAGTAACATTTAAATAAATCAAAACTTTTAAATAAAATTTCTCAGAGTTAAAGAAAAATTAATTCAAAATGAAAAAAGAACAAACGAATTAAAAAAAAAAACCACACGAAACATCTTTAAAAAACTTACATTGAATAAAATTAACCCACATAAAAGTCTATGTTAATTTGTGAAATTAATTGATTTTTTTTTTTTACAAAAATACACGCCTGCAAAAAATATTGAAAAAATTCATACGCACATACAATGTTCTTTAAAAAAACGTAACTTTTTTTCAGCGTTAACTAACGTTCTTTTTTTCCAGAACCTTCTTAACCCTCGTACCTCAAATTTTTATACATGCTTGAGTGTATTGGCAAGCCATGTTCATCGTGACCAATGTTTTCACTGTAAATCCAAGTGCCTCCGATGTCTTTGTTTTTCTCAAAAACCACAAAATCAAACGTCTCCGGATAGGCGGCTAAAAATCGAGCCGAGCACAAGCCAGCAATTCCTGCTCCAACCACGCAAACTTTTTTCTTTGTATTATCTTTAGACATTTTTGCACAGAAAGTGGCCAGTTGTTTTTATTTTATTTTTTTTTCACGCATTAACACACCATCAATTTTTTTTAAATTATTAAAATATCCTACATTCAATGACCCATCACTTTCCTGTTTTGTATGTGAGAATTTTTCAACCACGAATTGTAATACAATGAATTTTTTTCAATTTTTAAAAAAGTAATTTAATTAAAAAATAATATAGTGATTTAAGTATTAGACTGTATACTAGTGATGATTTTTTTAACTACGAATAATTCTTACTTGATGAACTTTTCAAAGCAACTTCACAAATTATACTGACTTCTTTATCGGAGCAGCAGAGTTTCGAGGGAGTAAAATCAAGAGAAACAAGGCGTAAATTATATACATCATCTGAAAATAATCATATCTCGAGTGTCATTATCATTGTTGGTTGAGCGCATGTTTTGAAATGATAAGTAACAACATAAGGTATTACGTTTCAGTTACATCAATATTTTACAAAAATTTCACACAATTTTATAAATTTTTTGTATAAGAAAATAAAAATTTTTTGTACATGCTCAAGAAATATTTTCCATGTATACTTTCGACAAGTGTNATTTATTTTATTGTTCCTTACAATAATTGACGATAAAAATACTACGCTTTTGCTAGATAAAACAAATAAATGGTTATACAAAGACTTACTTTTTTCAAGTATCGATGATCGGAATACTTTAATCGTTACACAAAATGTACAGCAGTATTAGAAACAAATCAACAATAAACAAACGAAAAAGCTTATAAGTTGCTTTTTGCCAGTGGCACCTCTATGGTGAACTATTTTTAACTCATGGAGCAGTACTTCACGATGATGTTCCGTTATTAAAATGTAGTAGTGACCCTCTGTTGTTGTGAAGATGCGTGGCCTATAAATACAATTGAGCAAAGGAGTGCAAAACAAGTGACTCCTTCGTTTGTCATGATTAGCAAGAGAAAGCTAGAAGTCATTCATTCCAGGTAAAGTGATAAGTACTTGTACAACAAGGGCGGCACTGCACATTATAAAGTACAAAAATTAATAATAATCATCTCTTTAAAAAGGTATCAAAAAAATTTTTGCATGGGTCCGATAACAAGGAATAATATCATACATTGTTTTTATTATGCTGTTTGTGTTACATTACAGTTTTTGGATAATATGTTAGTATACTTGCGATATTTAAAAATTATTTTCTTAATTATCCATCACAGTTTAGATACATTATTTATATTGTTCATATTTTTTTACAAAATAACATTAAATATTTATTTGAAAAAAAAGTTAAGTTAAAATTAAAATGTTTAGAATTAAAACATAAGTGAACACATGATGTGACGGAATGTGTATTGGATTACAGATAATATTGATACAGAATTTGTACCTGCAAAAATTGTACCTAGTTAGATTTGCACTATTCACTGATATTGCCGAGGGTGTCAATATCAACTGCGTAAAATACAATGAAATCAATAATGTATTATATATTTTAGATAATTTTTTATTAATATTATTTAATATACTGAATATTATCTAAGTTGCTAAAATCTATAAGAACATCGTTATCATACCTATACGTACTTCTAAGAACTACTTTCTTTTGTATCTAATTTTCTAATACCTACTTACTTCGACTGTTTCACTGCCATCGGGTCATTAACTCCTAAATTGGCAACATATCGAATAAAATAAAATCTTTAAAAATATTCTCGTAAACGTGTGTGACAAGAGAAAAAAAAAAAAAAACCGATTTTTCATCAGTCGGTCGCATATCCGTCTAGTGGAAAATACTCTTAATATCTATATTCGATGGTCACCCCCTAAAGCAGCAACAGCCCAATCCACTTGATGACTTTCCATGCGTAGCGAGTAAATTTTTTAACTGCCGCGTCGTCAATCTTGAAGTAATGAATCGTCTTGTGACAGTCATCTTGAGAGATATCACTAACTTTGGAGGTGTCAAGTGCGAGGCTGGAGAATTTACCATGGATTTTGTCGACGTACGTCTGGTCGAGGGTGCGGTCGCGCGATAGTATCATGACCGACCGGCGATGGAATATCGTGAGATTCCAGAATTGCTGGCAAGCGAAGATGGCAGCGTAATTCTTGTAATCCGTGTCTATGACCGTGTGAGATGCGCTACCTGCTAATTCTAAAATAAAAGTGTTGGCTGTGAAATGCTTGAACCGGCATAGCTTTCAATTGTTCTTTGAATTTGCTTTTGTGCAAAAAAAAAAATTAGATTCTTATAACTTTGGTGATTTTAAACAAGAAAATTTAAGTAATGTTATCATACTTGACAATGAGGCTTATTAAATGGTGAATTAATTTAAAATTACCGACACAATTACATTTTTCGTGTGAATAAATGAAAAAAATAGATGATAGCCTTTGAGAAGTAATTTATAAGGTAATAGGTTAACAAATTTTTAATTTAAAATTGAGAAAAATTTTACTGATAATTTTACGGTCCATTTCACGAGCAATGCAATGCTTTGGTTAGATGTGTGAAGAGAAATTTGTAATATTTAACGTTTAAAATTTTTTAGTTTAGCATTTTTCGTTTCAGAAAAACTTTTGATTTTTCACGTTAAAAACATGCATTGAATCATCTAATGTTGAAAAGTTATAGTATTGCCAATTCTTTTGATCCTAATACATGTCAAGTAAAATAAAAAAATACATTGCTTTGGTCGTGGATAAAAGAAAGGCATTTTAAAAAATTGCATGCTGCAAACTTGTATTTAATTTTGAATTTTCAGAACTGACGACTAATCGATTAAATAAGTTGAAATTAAATTTCTAAATAAATGGGTATGTAATAAATCTACGAAACAGGTAAAAATAGACATATTAATATACATACTTTTACTGATAGGAAAGACTGCGGTCATGTGAGCGGCTTTTTTGGTATTCCCATTACGTAAGGTACCTATGAAGCTAAAACCTGCAACAAAAATTTAATAAAGCAATAAAATTGGTCATGAAATATATAGGATAAATATATACAAACAACACATACATATTGGGTAAGAGTTTTTTAGTCTTAATATTTTTGCTAAACATTTTAATAATGTGTCTCTGTATTGATTTTATAACGCATAAAAAAGGTTAGTAAATATAAAAAATAAAATGAAAAAATGATTGAACTGAATTCTATATCTTACCAATAAATTGCATCATTGGTACTGTTTTGTGGGTGATCCTGTAATGACCTGGAGTGCTACTTTGTTCGTACTCGTATGCGATGCATTTGCTCTTTGTTGACGTCTTTTGAACTACATACCAGTTTCCAAGAAACTAAAAAAAAATTTAATTACTTCGATAATTAGATTTTGTTTGATGGATAACAAAAACATTATACTTTTTTTATCATCTTAGGATCTATGTATATTCGTAGAGTATCGAACATCATTTATGTATACATTTTTAGAAGTTTATAAAATTTATAAAAAAAACTCATTAGAAGGGAATATTTCTATATTTTAAGACTATGGTAAAAAAAAAAAAAAAAAAATCAAAATAGAAAATGTAATGTATATGTAAACTACCCGCAACAAATATTTTTTTTTATTCTCAAATAATTATTTTTGCGAAACATATAACTATAAAATGAGCAAACCACAATTTACCTTTTTCATTTGAAATTTGAGCATTGGCTTGGCAGTTGGACAGGCACCCAAATGGTAGGAATAAGCAGCACTCAAGGCAAGATATGCCATAAAAACGACGATGCTTAGCACGTGTGAATTCATCTGATGAATATCATAAACGTTAGTACATCGTATTTATTTTATTGTTCCTTACAATAATTGACGATAAAAATACTACGCTTTTGCTAGATAAAACAAATAAATGGTTATACAAAGACTTACTTTTTTCAAGTATCGATGATCGGAATACTTTAATCGTTACACAAAATGTACAGCAGTATTAGAAACAAATCAACAATAAACAAACGAAAAAGCTTATAAGTTGCTTTTTGCCAGTGGCACCTCTATGGTGAACTATTTTTAACTCATGGAGCAGTACTTCACGATGATGTTCCGTTATTAAAATGTAGTAGTGACCCTCTGTTGTTGTGAAGATGCGTGGCCTATAAATACAATTGAGCAAAGGAGTGCAAAACAAGTGACTCCTTCGTTTGTCATGATTAGCAAGAGAAAGCTAGAAGTCATTCATTCCAGGTAAAGTGATAAGTACTTGTACAACAAGGGCGGCACTGCACATTTCAAATAACTATATATACTTACTATAAGTATTTTTCGAAACACCCAATGAGAATCACAAATTGTATTATTATATTGCATTTTCTTGTTAGTGGATATTTACACGTAGATATCTTCGAACAAGTTATTCGTGTAATTTAAATTGAACTTGACAAGAAGTTTGTTTGATTTGCAATCGTGTCACAATATTTTTTAAACCTATTTGTACTTTAAAGTGGCAAACCTGTTTTTTTTGTTTTGTTGAAAAAAAAAAAAAAAAAAGTGATGTAATATAGTAATCATGGCTCTGGATTTATGTTAAGTGGCTTCAAAGTCATGGTGCATGTTGCACCTGCCATGTGTATAAAACTTTTTTTATCTCATGTAGTCATGTATGATTGAAATATCCATCAATTAAGTATATAATTTTTGTGTCGAAAATTATTGATTTTTATTTTCCTCGGACCTCTCAAAATCCATTCAGTGACGTGATTTCACTTGAATGACTCAGAGTTTCTCTCATATTGGGGACAACGTCACGTGTTTCACTGAACACACAAATTTTGGCGTATAGAATGCTCCTCCCAACTTTTAGCAGTAAATTAGTCCTACTATAAGTATTGCTTAAGCTTTAAACCTGAGATATAGTTGGTGAAAGTTCAGTCACTGCTACAAAGGCGTTAATTGTTTAATAATGGAACTTGGTCACTTCTATCAATGCTGAGCTGTCGTTTTCGCGTTTTACCCTCGTTGAAAGTTCAGCCCAAGCCCGATGAATGTTTTTAAACTTTTTAATGGCATAAAATTATTTATTCAAATACTTTATTCTTTAATCAGCATATTCCGCACTACTGAAAGGGTAAACAAATTTTTTTATCACCTTTGCCAGCTACCGTACTGCATCCTACCTATATAATTGTTATGTTGACATTAATCATGCAATTTTTTTTTTTTTTTTTTCAAAAAATTTTATGTAAATAAGACATAGTTTTCAAAAAATTTCGAAATAAAATCGTATCAGGGACATAATATAAAATTACAACTATATTCCATGATATTTAATTTTTT